CTTTCCGCCCATCAACCTCTCTTTGGATGAGCGGTAGAGAAAAGAGTTGCAAAGCGGGGTTCGTATTCTCATTTTCCTCGCACGAAATGGAGAAATAGCAATCACGACGAGTGGCGCAATAGAAAACTCTGATTCGATACAAAGATTTCTCTTTTAGTTTCGCTTTCATTCAAGTCTTTTTTCTTCTTCATCAACGTGCCGATTATTTGCCTCCAAGCAAACTAAAATAGTGCATTATTTAGCTCAAATAAGCTGGATTAAATTGCAAAAAATAATAAATAATAATTATTTAAAGCGTTCCACGCATTGTAAAACAAGCAATCTCTTTTTTTTTAAAGTTTCAATGTAGAAATTCAAAAATTTCAGAAAAGAGTGATCCGAAAATCGCACAATTTATGGATAATAGCATTCTAACTACCTAAAAGAACGATTACAGTCTCGAGAATCCTAGCCGGAGGTTTACGAATTTTCTTTGGGTTGCGAGCGAATCGTGCCGAAGTAAATCGTCCTCGAATCAAATTACAGCGCGAGAGAGCCTTTTAAAAGGATCCGCGAGGAGCCTAGGCATCCTGGAATGGACGAAGTGGCGCACAAGCTGATAGATTTTGAACGTCGGCTTCGCAAATCCTCCGCGTATCGATGGGTCCTTGCAAATCCCCCAACGATCCACGGGATAAATTTCGTTCGGTTCCCGGCACGATCGATCGCAACCTGGCCGCAATGTCCGTTTTCACTTCGCCGGTAGATTACAAGTTGCATCTCGCGAGAGCTTTTACGAATTTTGAGGAAAACCGGTTCTCCTTTCTCTATCTTTTTGCTTCTTCTTTTGTTTTTGTTCCTGTGTAAAAGTGAGAGTTTTAGTTCGTACGGAAATAACTTTACCATAATTAGCTCTTTTGTCGAGTAATTATCATTACACCTGAACAAAAAATATTTAATTATGCAAGAGAAAGACAGTATTTATAGTAGAAAACTTTTTCACTTATTATTGAAAACTCGGCACTTTGTGCATTTGTTTATTTTCAATTCTCAGACCTTCAGATTCGCAGGTATATTTTTATATAAAGATAATTTAAAGACTCTCAAGTCACTATTTTTTTATAATTTTAATTAAAGCGTCCCTGTTTTTATCACCCGTGATAAAAAATTACGCTATTGGAAAATCAGTTTGCAAGCTGACGAGACAGTTTTTATTATGTAAGTGCAAACCAAGTTACGGGAAGATACCTGCATGATAAGGAATTGTTGGTGAATGTAAAAAGTAGGAAAACTGCGTTGTGGACAAAAGCGGTGGCGCGTTGTTGCGCATATGGCGCACGTGACATGACTGGAATATTCCGTGCTGTTCACATTGATAGGACCTTCTCCTCCTTTGTTTCATGTACGCGACTACCATACAATTATAAGTGAACTATAAATATAAAGCAATCCCAAAAAACATAACGGTTATCTAATGTGCCGAAAATCTCCTCTTTATGTACACAGTTTCTAACAAGTTTAATCGGTCTTTAATTAAAACAATTAATGTCAATTATTAAAGCAGATTATTAAAGCACAAGCGAGTAGTTGCAAGACCGCCGTTGTGTATTAAATAAATATAGAAGCAATAATTTATTGCGACAAAGGTTGAAAACAAAATGTAGATAATATAATCGATTAGTTCCGCAAATAATTTTAGCGCAAATTGAAATAGAATTCGAAATGGCTGTCATGCGAAGTGCCAACTGCAAACGACGATACCGACGACGACATCCTTATTATATTCGACACGTGCGCCGATTCTGTCGTAAATCGAATTTCTTTATTATCTCCCGCGATCGTGTCGTAGAGCAAAGTGCCGTCTTGGAAAAGTATTTTTCTCGCGACGAGGGAAAGAAAAGCGTCGCAAAATGCATGCATTATTTATCGACTATTTTAATAGTATTTTTTATAATTTTAAAATAAAATGAGCATAATCTCGTAGACAATCCAAGTAATTCCAAAAAATGCAAGAAATAGAGAGTACATATTATTCTGTAAGCCCACGTCGCGTACGCGCGCTGTTGTCTGCGCTATCCTCTTTGTTATTACTTGCGCGATGACAAAAATAGTCAAGTCGCGTCTGACATCGCTTCGTATCGTCATTATCTTCTAAATTGTCATCGCAACAAATATTAAAAGATTATTACAAGTGATTGTCAATTGACATTTGCGCGATTAACCAGCGCTCGCAATTAATATAGTTCGATTCGACGGCATTTTGCAAAAATTTTGTTTAATTTTAATTCATAATGTTATAATGCAAAAATAAAATGCTTCAAACGTCCTAAAATGTGAGCATATGCTATCTTTTACGTAGAAAATAAAACTGCGGAAGATATTTAAAAAAAAAGTAGTTCAAGTATACCATAGGCGCGGCAACTGGCGCGCAAAATGGATAGCGCGATTTTCAATTTCCGCTGCGGCCTGCAATAACTATTTTCGAATGTAAATATTTTGCAATATATATTCATTTGAAATAGAAACCAATGCAATAAGAGAGAAAGTAATTTATTTTATTGTTATGTTTTTCGTGGCGTCAAATTGATCAACATATATGCAATAATTGCATAGCGTGCTGTTATGTACGCTAAGTTACTTTACTGACACTCGCTCATTATTCCTCCTCTGTAATGCAGTAAAGTGAGTTCGGTTTCTCCCCTGGGTACACCTTGTTATGGCAGAAGAGCTCAGTCCCTGGAAGGTTTATTCTGAAGGGAAATCCGAAACACAGCATTGTCAGGAGTCAAAAAATGATGCTTATATGGCGAGCGTAAATATGATGCAGCGAATTCACTACCTCTAACATCTTCTTTAAGAGGCAAGCGTGCGCATCGCATGTGAAAGTGTCGTTCAAAGTCTTGTTCAAAGAGTCATTTTGCCATAATGTCGCGGAAAATTTGAGAAAACCGCATAAAATGTTGCGTGCTCATAACTAATAATAATATTTTTCGCAAGTGAGTATTATATTGTAAGTCCCGTGAAAGAGCAATCATCGGTAGACCATTGAGAGAAAAACATCGAGCACGAACGAAGTAATTATAGAGTGAGTAATTTATTATTCATTTATTATTTGTTATTTGCGCAGTATATATTAATCATTTATTCCTGCGATGCGATTTCCATTGCATTTTGCATTATTAAAATTTATGATTATTTCAAATATTTGCGTAAGCATTAGATTTTTACTTACCGATATTTCACGTATCAAAAGAAATTAACAAATATTTTTATTACATATCTGTTAAAAAAAAAATAAATATATTCAATGTGCATGATAATTATTTTTAAAAAATTAATTGTTTTGTACGCTGTTATAATCCGGATTTACTTTTTGTGTTTTATAGGTCAGCGTAAATTACAACTCCGCTGTTACGTACGTATAAGTCAAGATTAAATTATAATTATTTTAATTTCGAAGCATTAAAACTACAAAAGCTATACCAGGTATGTATTCCTGAATTATAAAGATTAAAATTTTTTATACAAAAGAGAGTAGATTATCATAAACAGAAGCAACATTTTATAGATCCGTTGCTTTACAATTTAAATGAGTAAACCGTAAGTAAATTTAATCCTGAAATACGTACAACATTTAACAAAAATATGTTGCCACAAGTTCATGGATTATTTGTCTGTTCCATTTTCCGTCTTTTGCATAAATGATAACGTTAGATAATCTTCATTGTTTATCCATACATGTTATATTGTTTTTCATCGGTTAGAGATGTAGAATATTATATGCATAAACGCATAAACGCCTAATCCTGATTTATTCAGAGTAATTATAGATGCAACTGGGTGCAGAAGGGCTCTATCTGTTTTACGATAGTAAACAACAGGAGAAACGCGTCCCACGAGATAAAGGCAGGATGTTAGATGCCGCCAGAGTTGGAACAACATCACAAATAGCAGAAGCAGCACGACAGTCTCACGCTGCGACTGATTATTCTACTGACGCGATCTCCGTACATATTTACCTAGAGGAGATTCTCTGGGAATTGGGGATTCAAATACCGTCATCTGCCGCTAATCGACTACTCGTTGATCGATCATCGATTCCACGTAGTTGCCGTGTGACAAATTTACTTGGAAATGAGTCCGAAAATCAGACTAATAGTGTCAAATTCTTCATTACTTCAATCGTAACGATCTACTCCTTGTAACAGCAGGATAAAAGAATAAAGACGACGAGAAAAAAAGGAAGGAAGCGAATGTAGTTAATAAACTACAAAAAAAAGTTTCTAGTATAATTACGTCTCTCTAAATGTCGAAATTGAATGATTTGAAGTAATAGAATGAAATATAAAACTGCAGCAAGCTGAATATAAATTATAAAAAAATCAATAAGATAATATAAATTAAACACACAATTTCATTTTTATAAAATAAATTATCTAATTTTTAAAATCGAAAAACGTCAATTTAACAATATTTTCGGATCCACCTTTATCTCTTTTAATCAATAATCATACAACAAACTTCATCATTTGGTAATTAAATACCTGACAACGTTTTTGAAATCTAAATTGATTTTATTTCAACCAAATAATTCATGTTTTGCGGAAAAATCCGCGATAGATGAGGCACTTCGCGGAAATAATCCGATACGCATATACTCGAATTCTATTTGAAAGCCTGTGTCCGCGCTGATAATGGCAGACGTCGCAGCGCATCGCGCCGCAGAACAATAATGTAACATCGCGCGTATAACGTAATCTGTGCATAATTGAACGTAAACATGCCGATAATTTGAGCCGACAATGGTAGACGAACGTACAGGGAAGGGCAGAAGGAAAACAGTCATCACACGCGGTTACACAAGAATAGTCCGCACCGCTGACGGACGAATAATAGCCGCCCCCCCACCCTAAATTTGCATTTTTGCCGGACTTGTGATGTCAGCTAATGAAGCTAACCATTCACTGAGATGACAATTTTTAATTATCGTCTTATTTGGGTAATTTTTGACTCGCGCTCACCTGGGGATAGTCGCCGTCCTTCATCTGATAGTCGAACACGTAAAAGTACGTCTTGGGCATAGGCTCCTTCTCGCTGTCGGGAATCGGCGCAATATGAGGATTGTTCGGTTTTTTCGTGTGTCTCAGAGTGAAGAGATCTCCGGTTTGCACGAGCGGCGCAACAAACTGCGCATCGCTCAATGCCTGCACGCACGCATCCTTCGTGTTGACGGGGTGCTGAACCGTTCGTTCCCAGTCTGTGTACTCGTTCACCACCTGTACAGAAAATAAATTTCAAACGTGCACCATTAGATTTGTACGGAAATGTTAATTGTTTGCGCTGTTGTAGACACGGCTGGGAATTGCCTCCAAAAAAAAAAACTGAGAGTACAAAAAACTAAAAGGAAAAAGCTCGTGGAAAAAGCGTGGAAAATTTAAATTTGCCCTTCACAGAAATCTTCAATTAAATCCTAATTAACGAATTCCAGAAAGAAAATTATTGTGCGCAATGTCGGACCTGTCTTATAATTGCATGGAATAATAAGCAGAGCGTTTAATCATGCAATGGCTCCCCTATCGCGCTCGTAAAAACGCATTGTCGCGGTCGTGATCATTTAATTGGCTATAATCATTAAGTAATGCCTGGTGTGCGTCGTTCCTGGCGTAGACCGATAACGCGTCGGAAATGGAATTGGATCGTTAGTATGTGTTTCGACAAAATGCAACGCTCGCGATTCAATCGTTGTGTGGAACGTAACAATTATGTCCTGCGATAAATTCCACGTAAATGCAACGATACGCGCCGCAAATATGCGCGGCATGCTGCATATTCTGCCGGCAATAAATACAACTCATCTTTGCTCCGGAAACAGCAATTTTCTTTTCCTCGAAAATTTGTCCGCAAGATATTTTCAAGTAGAGCATAGAATTTTGAGGTATAGAAATGTTCAATTTTTTAATTTAATAAAAAAAGAATCCAGAGATTAAAGATTTTAAGAAATCTTAAAGCATAGATTTATGAATAAAAATTTACATTATTTAAGGATTTAAAGATAAAATAAAAAAGAATCTAGAAATAAGGACAAATTAATACTGAAATTTAATTCCAGAAAATTTCAGAAATTTAATACAATTATAATATTTGATTTTTAATATTGTACAATATCCTTAATATAATATTTTTGAATATTTTGAAAAATAATATAAGATGTAAGAAATTCTAAGAGCATTTTATAATTAAAAAATTACTTTTTACTCACATAAAAGCTACTTTCATTTAAATTTCATTACATAAATTGTTAAATAACGGAAAATGACTTACCGTATAAAATATCTCGGTGAGGTGATAGACGTAGGCGTTCCTCACGTACGTACGGATAATCCTGTCCCTTCTCTCACCCTCAAATCCTTGCAGGACATCCTTCTCCGCAAACTTCCATAAAGCCTCGCTCGTTGTCACGCCAAACAGCAAATCATATTTGTTGTTGCTCGTGATCGGTGCGCCATGTTCGGCTTTTTTAGAAAGCGGCCTGAAATCAATAATGATAATAGTTAAATACATTTAGTTAAATGTAAATTTGTCAATTCAGAAATTCTATAATTAATTCTATTATGCAATGTTATAAATTATGTCATATTTGATATAATACTTTTATTATTATATTAACAAATAAAAGAAAATTAAGTAAAGAATGTTAATTGTCAGAGATGAAAATTTGAGATGAAAGAGATGAAAGAAAATAAATGGGAGAAAAACAATTTCTACGATAATTGTAATTTTACTATAAGAATAAAAAAAAACATTCTAGACAGCGTAAAAAATATTAATAATTAGAATACAAAAATTATTCTTAAAGCTGAAAATCTCGGTTGGGAATTGCAGGTGGAATATGGAACTTGGTTGGAAGTAAAGATTATATCATGAACTCGTTCTATGGTTTCCGGCACGAGCGTGGTGCGATCTTCGATTGTAAGTATGCTAATGACGTTGTAAGGGTTGGGGCAGGTCGTTTACAATCGCGTTAATGAACCACGCTAATGTTCGCGGTAGAGACCGGCTCGTTTAGCTCCCTTTTTCCATTTAACGAGAAAACTCCAAGATCCGTCAGACGGAAGACGGAAGGCGGAATTATTGTGAAAGCCGACGTTAAGTACGAGACCCTTCTACGAGCAAGAAAGCAAAGCCGAGTCCGGAAGTGCACACATCAAAATAACTTTTCCGCCGCTTCACGGATTTCCTTTGCCGCCGCGAAAGAAAATGTAGAAATATACGCCACATTACCATAAAACTCTATTAAGCTCGCTATACCGGAATCCGAGGATTTTCCCCTTCTCTCTCTCTTTTTTTTCCCACTGTCTCCAGATTTCACCTCTTTTCCCCATTTGCGCTATGATCACATCCAAAATAACACTAAAAGTCCGCAATGTCAAACGCACTTTATCACATTTTTTATTCCCAGTTAGTAAATAAGTTGAAAAAGCTGGAAACGTGATATATTGAGGTAGATCCAAAAAACTGCAGAATTTTGCAATTTAAATTTAAACAAATTTCAGAATTGGAAATTATCTTGAAGCAAAACAAAAAATTCAGAATATTAACTCTTTGATCGTCAATCGAAAAAAAGTATTAATAAAACGCTAAAACATCGAAGAATTTTTAATAACTTTGATAAAAGAAATATACTTTTCTTTCTCAGCATAAAACTAATATCTAAAAAATAAAAACATAATAAGACTACAGCGATTTATATACATTATTTACACATTCGACAAAGCAGGCAAGTTAATAGAAACATTTTGAGTTTATACTCACCCGAATCCTTGAAATTCAGGACCGAGATAGGACAAAAGATCCTTTTGAAAGTCTGGTTTGATTACGACACCATCAACGCTTGGACCAAATGCGCTAAGAAACGTGGGAGGTTGAATGTCGACTTGCATCAACTCTTCGAGACTGCTGTCTCTTAGACAATCGACTATGAGCTCATTGTCCTTGAGAAGATCCTCGGGAATAGAACAATTGATAGCCTTGGCCAATTTCAAAGCGTAAGATACAGGGTCTTCCACCACCGCCCAGGACGAAAGAGCGCTGCCCGAAAGCAGTATAGCTCGCTTAAACAATCCTGCAAATACAAAAGATCTTTTGCAATTGTTCTATTCATATTATGTTAATTGGATCAAGCAATTAGTTGCAACTGTTGAGCAAGCAATCAATTACTAGAGCCATGATACAATTCAACGCATGAAAAACAATAGATAATTTTTTTATGACTTTTAGAAGACGAGAATTTTAAAAAGAGAGCCTTGTAAATTTGCTTTAGATGTTCATGTCAAATGCATTCGTCTATGTAGACATGTTTAATTATAAAATGTTGTAATAAGAACATATTTTTTAGAGGAATACTATTTGCTATCAAAAAATCTTTTCTGAAGCACACACGTGAAAAAATTAATATTTTAGTAATCGTCACAAAATTAATATTTTAGTAATCACCACAAAATTATCTTTTATAATTAACCTTCGTAATTAATGTAAAAAAAAAAAACTAAATAAATAACTTTTGGCGAAATATGAAAAGAGAAAGAAGATTGTGATATCTTTAATTAAAGGAATTCTTTTCCTACAGTAAAAGGGTAAAGTGCAATGTCTTGTAACGAGAAATCTACGTCGTATAAAAGAACAGATTCTTTGATAAAGGTTCACACGAAAAGTCTTTGGCATTTTTACTTTTATTTTCTCAAATTGCAAAGAGAGACGACAACAGATTACTCGATAAAGGAATTACTCTCTCGAGAAATTTGCCCGATGGACCGGAACAGACCTTCTATTGCTTAAAGTGACGTACGGAAAGTGGGATATTTTCGCGATTAAGCGATTTTCACGAGCAAATTCCGCACTCTAGACTGAAGCATCGATGGATAATGTGATTTTTATTTACTTAGTTCTAAAGCATCGAAGTGAGGTGGAAATTAATATTGATAGCAGATAACATGGCGGATGCTAAAAAAAAAAAAGATTGCACTTTTAAGAAGGCAGATGATAAATTTCAATATACAGACTTTAATGGACTGAATTTGTTAGTTCGACTTAAAAAATGCAGGTATTTTGTGAATTGCTTGGCCTAATACCTGAAAGGAGCGCCACGATTATGAATATTATACGAGCGGATTGTTTGAGGAGGAAATTACGCCGGCGAAAATGGCGTCGCGGATGGATGAAAGCCACGTCGTTACTCGCAGTGAGAAAAGAAAGACAAACCAAAGTCGCTCTCGAACTCGGAGAAAGAAGTGGCCGACGACCCATAATTATCCGGGAAGAGAATCGTTCTCGCGCAGACTCTCGCATAGATGTTATTTGCCTAAGGAAAAATGAAATGCTCGGTTTTTATGCTTTAAGACAGAGGTTTTCAACTTCTACTCCGCTCGTTAAACGCCATTATCCGCCGGTGGTTATTTCAACATAAAAATTATTTTTCTCCCGCACAGTGATTACATAAAATATTTTTGTTTTTTTTTTGTAATTGTCTTTCGCAATTAAAATATTTATTTTCTATCGTAATTTAAAAAAAAAGAGTTTCTACAAACATCTAAAAATCTATAAAAGACCCTATTCTTTTATTCAGATGCATTAGTTTTGACATATTTAGTGATGATAAATTGCAGAGAGATATATTATATATTACAGCCTCGAAATGAGAAAAAGCATGAGCCCTTTTACAAAGAGAACGGAAATACATTTCTCAATTTCGAAAGCGAATAAACAAAATACGAGAACGCTCTCAACTTCGAGAAGTTGTTATACGTCGATTTTTTCATGCAAGTTATCAAGGAAATTAACGTGAAACAGGCGGAAGGAGAGAAAATAAAACAAGGTAGAGGAAAGAGAAAGAAGAGGTTTTTAGATGATAAAAGCAGGGAACAACAGGATATCGTTGTATCTCGAGGCTACTACCTGGGAAAAATGGAATTCTCATTTCTATCCCCAGTGATACGGGAAAGAATGAAGCATCCGAGAAGCCAGTAAAGCGAGAGAGAACTCAGGCGTACTAGGATCTTTTCCGATCGAGATTCTTCCGTTCGCATATAAATAAAAAAAAAATGACGTTCTTATGAAATTTTACAAACGTTTAAGTAATAGAATTCAAGAGTAATGCTTTTACCGAGCGAGAATTTTATGACACTGGCGTCGAAGTGTCAGAAAGACTAAATAAATCTGCCATTTAATCGCGAAGGACGGAAAAAATGCAACACTAAGCTGTACTTTTCAGTTTCTATAAATCTATTAATATCCCGGCGATCCACTGTCATTTCCATGATCGTAAAACTCCATCATTTTAATCACCTTATCCGCTTGCAAATGGTAGTTGAACGACTCAGACTCTCTTTTATCCGCGCGATTACGCAATAATCCGGGTAATTTCTATTATTCGAGATACATTCCGCTTTTTTCCGAGGAGATTTCTCCATTAACAAAATCAAAGAACTCGATAAGGAACATGAAACAGCCGCGGCGGATAGAAAAGCGAAGCGGGAAAAAACTCCCGTCTCGTACACGCGTAGATGGCTGCGCTCTCCTCCGCAAGGGAGGAAAGTATTTTCCAATAGCGCCTACGACGGGGGTGGCGCTGGTTGGAAGGGGCCGATATTTCACGCACATAATATCCCGAGCAAAGAAGCGAGGTAAAGCGGGGGAGGAGGACGAAAGAAGGGCGGCAGAAAGAAGAAGGAAGGAGAGACGATGGTGAGCGGATGAAGGTGAACG